AAAAAGTAGATCAGAGACATATTTATAGTAATTATGCAGGCAAATTTGCCTGCAAATCTCTACCAATTAAGGGATATGAACCCGTAAATAAGAAACTTTACTTTCAGGATCAATAAATAACATTTTGGGATCAATGCTTATTAAAAAAGTAAATGAAACTTAAAAATCTAAGACTTTTGAGTGAATTTTATATAAAACTAACAATTTTTTTTTTTTTTTTAAGTTTTACACTAGAGTATAAAGCTGTCGCAATCAGAATGACCAAACACACAAGAACTTCTGTGCATTTTTCAAGGTTTAGTTAAAAATTATGAAGGAATTAACTTAAGAGCCTGTGATACAAATCTGTTACAAACCTGAAGACATGCAGACTGTCCAGCAGCAGAAAGGTGACTTCTGTTATATCACCCTTTTATACCTGAACTCGTAGATCTTCATTCTTCGTTGAGTACTTACTTGATCTGCCAAATACATTATAATCAACTTATCTCAAAGGATCATTTTTACTAGCGGCTATTAAATAGTTCATTACTCTTATCATCTTCATCTTCGTCTTTTACTCACAAAAAATCTCAAACTAATACTAACCCTTATAATGATTCTAGGTCAGCTCACGAAGAGACAACTAACTTTGGTGGGTCGCACCTATCAATAGATCTTGAAAGAGGCAAAAGCTTATTCGATAAGAGTCAAGAAAATAGTGAAGATGTAGCATACTTCACTAATGCGATTACTGAGTTACTTTTGCAGGTAGAAATTCAAAACAGGGAAATAAAAGGATTGAGAGAAACAATAAGTAAATATTGTAAAGAGATACTTTACTTAAAAGAATTATATCAGAAGAAGTGTGAAGAGAATGATAAACTCATTCAACATTGGGATTCTCGGCATAATAACCAGCATAAATGTATAGAAGAAGTTATTAATATCACTCAACATAAACGAGAAAGTTTGTATAAAGATATTGAATCTCTAATTAGAAATAATAATAGATTTTCTTTAGAAAATCTATTAAACTATGATCCGCAAACATGGCTGAGTAAACGTAATCAAGTTGTTGTTAAATTTATTGAGATACTGACCCACAATAATCTTAATACAGATTCCTTAAGTGCCAAAAAAACTTTTAAAAGAGCAATGGCTATTGATTTAATTTACGGGTCGAGACATAGGAAATATGTCTCAGAAATAAATCTTATGATATCAGCTATCAAATATTCCATTGTATGATCGAAAACTATTATTAACATTGATAACCATATAATGTGTTCAGGTTAATATTTCTGTATTTAAGTTTATTTAATTTGCTTTTAATTATTAATAATTACTTAATAAATATTAAATTAAATAATATTGTATAAGAAGCTATTCTCATTTTCAAAATTGGTTAGACGGGCTATCAGAAAGGGAATAACCTTTACCTAACGGACTTTTATTTATAGCATTTAATAATGAGCAGAAAGGGCAACAAAATTATCTTGATCGAGAACTAAACACAATGATATTTCATATTGTTATTAGTTTCGTTGCTTTTAATATGGAGTCGCAAAATTATATTCAGTATACTACTAACACACCGTTTAATTTTCTTGATAGGCCACAATACAAGAATCTTTTTGAAATTACATTAGAAATGCAAGAAGCAGTAGATCAAGAATTACATGTTTATCTTAATGAAATTTTTGAATTATTGTATGAAGAAAAACTATCTGCAACTAATGAAATTGATTCCCTTGTAGCTAATGCAGGTTCGAGTAGCCACTGCGATAAATGGTGCACTAGCTACAGAGAACAAAATATTGAAAATCGAAAGCAAATTTGCCCTAAATGCCAAGCTCGTCTATCAGCATTGTCAGAATTATCTAAACAAGATGTTTCAGGGTTAGAGAAAAGTGATAAAGTGCAATCAATAATTTTTAAACCATACCTTGTTGAAAAGGAAACTAGATCACCTACTGTACCAAGAATTAGTGTTACTCAGAAGTCATCTGCGGACTAGGGAGTTAATATTCTGGAAATTTTTGGTCCTGATCCTCTTAATATTAACCCAAATTCAACAATAAATGTTGAAAATATTCTTTCTCATATTAAGAAAATTTCAGGAATTAAAGATAGAAGGCGCTATTGGGTGGCTGTTACGTGTGATGGCATTCTGTATTACCGTATAATTAAAGTGAAAGAGAAATACACCTGGCTTGTTCTTATTCCTGGACAATTATACGAGGAAATGAACATGCTTCGAGCATATGTAGAATTGAATTGGTAAGTTAATGTTGTATTATTTTTGTAAATTAAG